CCACCCACTGGCCTGTGATCTTCCTGCATTTGGCATCGTTGCATGTGTTTCCTGAGTCTGAAGAGGACTTTATAGATTGGTATCGGATATATGGGCTAATATCGGACTTATGGACTTGATCTGGACTGGGCTGTTTTCTTAATGTCCAATTACTCTATATAAAGCTCTTTCTTATACACGAGTCTCCCTGGACTTCTCTAGTCTACTGGGACTAACACATGGACAGATTGTAAGGAGGCTTGTGCTTGCCAGGCAGTACAGGATGGGGGTACTGAGGTGACGACGGATACTCTGAAATTGGCTGTGGTGATGTTTGCATAACACTATGGATATCCTAAAAGGCCATGATCTATACACCTTAAATGGGTGCACTGTATGGTGTGCAAGTTATAGCTCAAAATAGTTATTTCTTTAAAAAGCCAGGAAGCAGCATGCCTGGAGTGAAGGGCGACCTGGTGGACAGTGACTACGGAGGACCTTCCTCATCAAGGCTTCAAAGGCCAGCACGGTGAGGACGCAAGTCTCATGGGCCATGGGATCCAAAAGGAACCTGTGCTTCAGGCCTTTCCCTAGCAAGTGAGACTACTGTGCTCTAGGGTTATGTTGTTGCTGGCCCTAGCAAGGAAGAGTCCACTATGGAATCCCCTCTCCGGACATGTGCTAAGTCTTATCGGAAGCTAGAAGCCCTGATGGTGCAGGGGTTACATGTCAGGCTGTTAACTGCAAGGACCGCAGTTGGAAACCACCCGCTGCTCCATGGGAGAAACATGAGACGTCACTCCCACAAAGAGTCCCAGTGTCAGAAACCCACCAGGGCAGCTCTGCCGTCCTATAGGGTCACTGTGAGTCCACATCGATTCGATGGCAGCGCGTTTGAGTTTCTGGGTTATTGGAAAGCTGGAGAAATGTCACCAGAAGCCTGCTGGACTGCTCGAGCTAAAGATGCTCACCTCCAGGATCACTGGGGAGGGATGGAGCCCCCAAGGCTGGTGGCTGGGAGGGCCTGGTTCCTTTTCTCCCTCACCTGGTCCTTGGCTGCAATCGGGCTGAGTATGGGACACACTTGGACAGACAGCTGCTTGCTGGTGGGTAAAAATCTCACTACGAGAGAACTCCAGCCATGAACCTCCTGACCCAAAGTAATACATGCCTTAGCATCACCACTGGAAATCTCATTTGAGTGAACACATTTATTCATTCTCTTGTTGATAATCTTTCATATGGATGCACACATAGTCTCACACACACACACACACACACACACACACCAATTATAGTTTGGCTTCCCATCGCCTTTTAGAATCGTCTCTTCCTGGAACTATAGTTAAGGACTCAGATGTCGGCAATGGGCAACTCTCTAGTCCAGGGTCAGCCGATATCCGTGTGTGTCCTTTGGGACCGCAGAGACACAGACGTCTATACTGCAAGAAGGTACTTCCTGAACAGCTCCTCCACGTACCCGGCCTTACAGACTCTTCAAGTGTTGCCTCTGCACCTCTGGTCTTTAAGTACCCCATGGGCACCTCTTTCTCATAAAGGGCCAGCCTCCCACCTCCCTGCGCCTGCCCCTCGCTGTGGCACGTGTACCTCCTACCTCAGTTGACTTGTATAGACAGGGCTCCCAGTTCCTAATGCTCCCTTAGCTCTGGCCCCGAGGTTCACAAGACTTCTTTGCCCAGTTCTCCAAGCAACCGACTACCACCATGTGAGCTAGGATTCCAGATTTCTCTTCCTGACGAATGCTGTCAGAGTTCACTTGTCCTGCCCCTTTCTCAAAGTGATCCCACGTGGCTTCTGGGTATGTCTGACCCACAGGAAGGGGGCAACTCTTCTTTGCCACCAAGCACAGATCTTCATCATATTGGAGGGTCTCAGGCCTTGGAGGCAGAGGTCCCACCTCCCAGGCTGGCTAGAAGTCTGTCCCTGACCTGAGTTCTGCCTACTTCTCCACCCTAGCTCTTGGTGAAAGAGCCCGCAAACTGACCTGACGTGCAGATCTCTGCTCCTGGGCATTCCTGGCCCCAGCCCTGCACGCTTCTTCTCCTGGACTCACGTCCTTGACCCTGAAGCTAAGCTTCTTCTTCGGCTCACATACATCATGTCCTCCGGGAACCCTCCCTCGGCTGGCGCCTCGTCTGTGGATTTTCACAGCTTGGAGGAGCCATGGTGGTGCAATGTTTTCAGCGTTAGGGGAAAGGTTAGTGGTTTTAACCCAGGACTCGCTCGACAGGAGAAAGATGTGGCGAGGGGCTTCAGTGAAGACGGGGAGCCTTGGAAACCTCAGGACGCTCTATGCATTGGAATCAACTGGGTGGCAGTGGGTTTGGGGCAGCTTGGGGTCCCTGGGTGGAGCAAATTGTTAACCACCCCGAAGACCCTTAAGGAGGCTCTTGCGATCTGCTTCTGAAAAGTCATTCATAAAAACCTGGTTCTGTGCTGCCGCACAGGGGTCGTCAGAGGCGGAGCTGCCTCGAGTAGGGCAACCGGTGTGGTTAGGTTTGGGTTGGGGGCTGACTTCTATCCGGTGTTTCCATCTTGCATGATAATTGTCTGCTTGCTCACCTCTCCCTCTCTCTACACGGTAAGCTCCTTGGTGGCCGGGGCTCAGGTCACGTGTGATTTCTCTTTGCATGCCAGTGCCTGGCCCATCGCAGGTGCCAAATAAATAATGATTGGGACTCACCGGCACGTTGCCATTAACTTTTGGGAAGGGGCTCCAAATTCTTGTGGGGATCAAAGAGCACCAGGTGATCATATTTTTAAAAGGTCAAAAGGGTGGGGGGACGGGGAAAACACCCAGGGGTCCGAATCAAGATGTTTATATGAGGGGGGGCTTCAAAAAAATTCGTGGAAAAATGGCATTATATTTTCATTCTATTTAGCACAAACTCTTAAAAGCCCCATTGTATTTCAAAAATTCATACTTCACGTTTAACACACACATACCCATGGACACACACACACATATATACACATACATACACACACATATAGCTATACACACATATACATACATATATATACACACATATCCACACACACATATATACACACACACATATCTACCTACACATATATCTATATATACACACATATATACATACACACATGTCTACACACATATACATACACACATACATGCACAAATAGCTATATACACACACACATATACATACATACACACGTCTATCTACACAGATACAGACACACATATATCTATATACACACATATATCTATATACACACATATATCTATACATACATACATACACACGCTGATACCCAGGCACAGGCACGCAGCCTGCTCTCCAGGCCCTGGGCCGGGCGGCCACTATAAGGAGGTCTGCCACTCCACGGGCAGCCTCTCCAGCTCCACACTGTCCCAGCCAGAGCTCTTCCGGAGCTCTTGGAACAAGAGCTGCTGCTGGAGGCTCCGCAGGCTCTCCAGTTGCTCGGGAGAGAGTTGCTCAGCCGACTGTCCCTGGTTCTGCTCTCCCTCGGCCCCCTCCGTCTCTGTCAGCCCGTCTGGGAGCTGCGGGGAGCTCCTGGAGATGTAGCCCTGGTCGGACTGCACCGACTGCCTCTGCTCCTCCTCGTAGGCCGTGTGCGGGTCTTTAAGGATCTCCTGGGTCTGGCTGCTCAGACTCTGCTGGAAAAGCGAGACCATCAAGCCTGCGAGCTGCCCCCTGACATCCTCTGGGAGGTGGTCCGGCGAAGCCACCGGGGTGCTGCAGGGGGGCAAGGCCTCTGGGTCCACAGGGAGGAAGAGAACATTGTTTTGCTGTGGGCAGGGTGGCGGCAACAGCGGGCAGGCCTCGCCCTCTTCCACCAGGGCCAGCCGGCTGGCTGTGGTGCCCGGGGTGGCAGGAGACAGGGGCCGCACCGCTCCTGCAGGAGCACCCCGCTCCACAGGGAGCACCCGGGTTTGCAGGGTCTGGGCTACCAGCTCCTTCTGCAGTCGGGGGTCCAGCCTCAAGACGCCTCTTTCTTGCTTGCTGATGAGCACATCTACCACCAGTGAGTCCGCAGGCGAGGGTTCCCGCACCAGTGGCTTCAGCTTGACGATCCCTCCTCCAGATGGCACGGGTGGCTCCTCCAGGAGCTCGTCATGCAGGGATGGAAGGTCCTGGTCATCTGCCGAGCAAAGGTTCTCGCGCTCAAACCAATCCGGGCACCGCAGCTGATGTTCTCGGAACCTCTGCACAGCTTCCCTGAGCTGCCAGCCACTGGGGTTCTGCAGGTAGTTGTCCCCCGTGAGCTCCCCGACCCGGTGCATCTGACCAGGCTCAAACATCTCCAGGTCCTGGATGCGGAAGTAAACCTCCTCAAATTCCTCCATGAGCCGGTACCTGGAGGTGATGTGGAACAGGTCGGGGATATCCCCCTCGCTGCCGATGCCGCTGAAGTAGCAGACAATATAGGTGCCGAAGCAGGCTGGCTTCTTGAAGTCTGGCAGGATCATGTTCATGGCTGCCGTGAAAAGGTCCCCGGAGGGCTGAGAGCGGTCACACCGCAGCTGGACGGCGGGCTCCTGCCAGCCCAGGATGGCCTGCCACTTGGCCCGGGTGCCTCGGGAGCACAGGATGAGGATCTTGGATTGGCTGTCCATCATTTCCTGCTTCTGGCGGCCCACCCAGGTCATGACCCCGACCTCAGAGATGACCCGTTCCTCCAGCAGGTCGAGGGCTACCTCGGTGCCACAGACCACGAGCAGGAATTGGGCAAACTTGAGGACCACCTCCACGTAGAGGGGGTGGTCGGCGGAGTAGATGACCCAGACCTTCCTCGGCTTCAGGGATGGGGCGGTGGGGTCCGTCACGGGCAGGACGTCTGAGGGGAACAAGAGAAGCCACGGCCACAGGTTCAGGGGTGCGTCTCTGCTGGCTTTCACACCGCAGGTCCGGGCCAGGTCCCTGCTGGCCACCTCAGGAGGGGCCTGCACCCACCCGGACTCCCACGTGGACCCGAGCCTAAGAAATGCAGCCGAGGGCGTGCGGGGGAGGGCCAGAGTCATCTTGACGGCTTGAACAAATCATCGTCTGACGTCTTCTGAGAGAGAAGAACAATAACTCCACCCTCCCTCACACCCCCTCTGGCTTTGGCTTAAACTTCGATCATCTTAACTGAGGAAAATGGCTGATGGACTATAGCAATTTGTTACACGGAAGGCCTCATCTTCCACAACGAGGTGGCTTCTTTACAGAAGCCCCGGTGGCACGCTGGTGACGTGGAACCACCAGCGATCCGTCCCCACAAAGACCGCGGCTCTGGAGACCCGGGGCCAGTCTCCTCGGCCTCTCAGGGTTGCCATGTCAAGTCCGAGTCAAGTCCAGGTCAACCACGGGGCGTGCCTTTCCTTATCTAGCACCCGAAGCCCCTGCCACGGAGCTGATTCGAACTCCTGACAACCCCAAGGCAGGGTCCCACAGCCGGCAGCCCTGCCCGGAGCGACAGCCTCATCGGCCTCCGGCGCAGCAGCTGATGTCTTTGGCACGCCAACCTCGCGTTTAGCAGCGCGATGGCTAACCGGCCCCGCCCCCGGGACGCCACGCGCCTTGTCTAGGTGGTTGAGCACGTTACCCCAGCCCTGGCCATGCAAGGCACCTGCAGTCCCTCCGTGCCAGTGTGACACAGCAGTTCCTCAAACGGTCCCTGGAGAGCCTCAGGAGTCAGCCCCCTGAAGGTGACAGGCTCCAAAAGGACCCTCTACCACTTCGGGAAGAAAGAAACCGGGTCTCCCAAGACACTCACCAGGGTACGCAGCGGTGTTTTCACATTTTTCAGGAGGCCCTGAAAGAAAAGGTCAGACATGCTTCTGAGAAAGGAGTGGGGGGGGGCGGCCCAGCTTTCAGGGACGGGTGTGGTTGAACGAGGCACTTGCCCACCCCTGGCAGACAACGGGCCACACTAAGGGATGCTTTGTGTGATGGGGGAAAATAGCCCACGTCGCTGAAACTCAGCCTCTCCCTCTGTCCCGCGGGTCTGTGAGGTGGGTGGCATGAGAGAGGGCAGGCGGTGCAGGAGCACTCATGGGGGTTTACAGCAGTTACTCTGTAAAACCGACCCTGCTGGCAGCAGGGGAATAAGTTTTAAAAATGAAGCCCTAACCAAAGACCTTGAGGTAATGCGTACTGGGCGTGGGGGCCTTAGGACCACAGTCTCTCGGGAGACAGCCAAGTCAACTACGGCAAGAGTTCACAAAAAACAATGCCCTGAGCATCCTACTTTGGTGAGTAGCGGTTGGGGTCCTCAAAGTTAGCAAGTGGCCGTCTACAGTGCAACTCTGGCTCTTGCCATCCAGGGCAAAGCAGAGTCAAGATGATCACCCACACAAAGACACAGGTGGAGACCAGCAGAACTAGATGGTGCCCCGCTATCGCTACCCCTCTCCTGAAAGGGATCCCGAGAGAAGGTCCTTGGTAGAGTGGGGGAGAAATGTAGAAGGAAAAAAAATCACAAACGGACCTGACTTTCTAGTGACGGAGACTGGTGGAATCCCTGAGAGATGGTGACCCTTAGCACCCTTGAAGGCTGGAACTCACCCCTGTGGCTCAGCACCTCTTAGAACCATCAACCCTCTGAAACCCAGTGGGCAGCTCCAGCCCAGGAAGAGAGCTCAGCCGGCAGAAGGGACAGAGGGACGGGAAATGGGGAACACAGGGGGCGGGGAAGGGTGCTGGTACACAGTAGAGATTGCCACCAACATGGAAAATGGATTTGCTCAAACCACAATCAAGAAGTGACCCTGCTGGCCACTGAGGACTCCTTCCTGGCTCCTCTTTACAGAGCTGGCCCTCAGTGTCTCCGGTTTGGCCACTACCCTCCCCCCGCCTCCCCAACTGAAGACCCGTGTTCTCCCTTCTGAGGACCTGCCAGCAGACAGATGCAGGAGGTAGAGGGATTGGCCATGAATAATGCCCACCAACAAGCATCCTCACCCCCTCCTGGAGAGGAAGGCATCATGGTCCCATTTCACAGAAAAGAAGGTGAGGGGGCACTCGCTTCCAAGTGCAACGCTAGGGAGGTCGAGTGGGATCCTCAGCTATGTGTTCGCGTAGAGCCTGAACCTTCTCTGACTTCCCCTATCTCCTGTCACTCCAAGGGTGTGAGTTGGGGGCTGCAGGATGGGGGTGTTCAGGCTGCTCTTTCCGTTTCCCTCACAAGCTCCTTTTACAGGGGGACACACACAGTTTCAGAGCATGTCAGGGACGTTCCCAGACCACTGAGCTGGTAGTGACAGAACCGGTACTCACACCAGGATTCCTGAACATTTTTTCCCCCTAAAGAAAGCTTTAGAAAATAGCAAAAGTGAAAATCCTTCTTAGATAGCCACCCTCCCTTAGCCCACCTAACTTCCTAGAGGGGACCACTGTTAACAGTGTGTTGAAAATTCTTCCAGACTGGCTTATCAACATAAGCAAGAATTTAAAAATATACAGGGGTGTGTGGTTTTAAACCAACTCCTCGATAGTATCATTTTTCATTCCGTCATCCTGGACAGCTTTCCAGCTGAGATCTAGTCTGTTTCCTGGGTTCTAAGATGCCCCTTTCCATTCACATGGGAATGCTCTGGTCATCTTAAGACGGCTCCCTGGCTGGTTGATTCTGAGGCCAGGCAGTTCCACCTAGCGCCTCAACCCACTGGTGTTACCCACATGCGCTGTGACAACGAACATCCTTCTGGCTAATGGACAAGGAGCGAACCTGATGTGCCAGGCTTCGGGTGAGCCTTCCCAGACACGGCTTGACCGAATCCTTGCCACAGTTTGATGACCCAGGCATCAACATAATTTCCATTTTACAAAGGAGGAGAACCTGAGACCCAGAGAATGGAGTCATTGCCTAGGTACTGAAGGGTGGGATTAGTCTCTGATTCCAGGTTCTGAGTTCGTAACAAGTGACATCGAGGCGGCATGATGACGGGCAATGGGTACACGTGATTTGGGACGGAAGGACCAAGAGTGAAGGGGCCCCTGGTCTCGGGCTTCCAGAGAAGGTCCAACTGTGGGGCTGGATTGAGAAGAAGGGGAAGTGGGGCTGTAGGAAGAGAGGAGCAGAGGGGGGAGCTCGAGAATGCATCCCTGTTCCCTTTCCACCCCCACCCACCCCAACTCCCACCCACGCCCCCGCCTCTTACCAGGCAGTCTCCGAGTCATGAAGACGACGACCAGGATGACGGAGCCCCCCAGCAGGATGACCCCGTATGCCCACAAGGGCATGGAGTCTGTGTGAGCAGAAAGTGTGAGCAGTACACCAGATGCTTCAACCCGCTCCCCAGCCCAGGGCTCTAGCCTCTCCTGCCTGGCTAATTTTATGTGGCAACATGGCTAGACTGTGGTTCTCAGTGGTTTGGCCCAACACTAGCCCAGCTGCTGTTTCACAACAGAATCTAATGCAGCGGTTCTCAACCTGTGGGTCGCGACCCCTTGGGGGCCTAAGGACCCTTTCACAGATGTCGCCCGATTCATAACAGTAGCAAAATGACAGTGATGAAGTAGCAACAAAAATAATTTTATGGTTGGGGGGGAGGGTCACCACCACATGAGGAGCTGTCTGAAAGGGTCTCGGCCTTAGGAAGGTTGGGAACCACTGGCTAATGGAACCGCTCTCCAGAATGTAATCTCGCGTAACTGAAGGGGAGTTCTGTAGGCTGTGGTCTATCTTCAGCCCATGAATACATGTTTGGGCAGAACATGCACACACATTCTCTCTCTCTCTGGACCTAGGAATCTTGGGCCCTGAGCCTGCAGAAGGCTCAGCCTGCTGCCTGAGTTACAGATTTTGGACATACCTGTCCCCACAATCCTGTGAGCCATTTGAAGCCTCCAGTTTATCAGCTAATCCACGGGCTTGGGCCTTTTCAGCCCCACAATTGCATGAGCACTTCCTCGCAGACCAATCAATCCATCTCCCTCCCTCCATCGCTAACTGGCCTCTCAGTTCGGCCTGTGTACCTGGATCCATGCCAGGTCCAGCCAGAGATTTCTCACCCTAGGAAAGGGATCTGGGCTTACCTGCAATCGTGTCTGCAAGGAGAACAAAAGGGAAACCGTATTGTTAATCATTTGTCACCATCCCAAAACTTTGTCTCCCCCAAAGATATGCCAAACATTAGAGGCTATTTGCCAGCTCATGGTGGAAGGTCAGATGCTTAGAGATACTATTCTCCCTGAAGGCATCTGGTCCACTGTAGGCGGGGCTCACACCCTACTGATAATGGTTTCCATGGAGAGCCAGAGAACAGGTCAAACCTGCTCAGGGCCATCCAAAGTTAGGCTGCCATCCTGAATCTAGGATCCGCCCATCTTGTCACACGCTATACCCCAATTCCTCCCCTTCCTATTGCAGTGTATACCCCTAGATCATTCCCCTCCCATTACTGTATTACCTAAAGTACAACCCCTTCCTGTGACGTATGTCTTTACCTGTAATTAGGGGGCTTACATGCCCCCCAAAGATGTATAATCCTTGGTTAGCAATAAAGAGCTCTCTCCCCCTGGCTCTCTCCCCTGTCCCCGTGCCCCATGTCCTAGGGCATGCTACCATGAACATGCTACCATGAAATGTGTCTGACTCCATTATTTCAATCTCTCTTCTATATCTCTTCTTACCTATGACTTTAGTATAATTTTAACCGAACAATTGTGTCTATCGCACCTG